GGGGAGTTAAACAAAGACAAAACACAACCTGACCCGGACTGTGTTTCACTTTCCGCATGCAGCGCCTTTACCGTATAAAGCTAGCGCAAACACGTTTTTATATTTAACTATAGTCACTATATAGCTGACAATTTACTATATACCCGGCTGTATTGTTACTTTGTATGATATGATATGACAAAGAATGTTCAGATTGCAGTCTCTTCTCTACTACAATCAACTGTCAGAAAGTCACCATTTTTTATGATAAAAACAGACAGAATAAGAACTATATATGAAATGGGTACAAAAATTGCTGAGGTAAATACTGTACCCACATTTATTAATGACTTAATGTATCATGTATGCTCTATTAAAATTAAAATTAAAATACATACAATCTGTAAAGAAATTTTATTAACTTTAACCCAATTTATCAAGCAATCCTATAATTCTAAGATGTCCTGTGACTAATGCACCATATAACAAAATTTTAATGTAACGAAATTCTAAATGCTGTAACTATAAATGTACCATATAACAAAATTTTAACATCCCATATTGGCATATAACCTTATTATTATAATCATGAATAGACTATCGATATTATTTATAAAAAAAGCATGAACGGTCACTCACGAAAAAGCTTTACGATGTTACTTTGTGCAATCTTCAAGGATATAACAAAAAGTTTTTTATCGGACAATTTAGCAGTCAGCCAAAGTCAAACAAACAGTTTCTCTTCACCATAGAAATATTAGATTATTATTGTCTATTATTTCTATGCTCTTCACCCTGTAGAAAGCCGCCATCTAGCCTCCTCCGCAGGCATCTCGTAGTTCACGTACTTCTGAAAGTCGGTGAGATGCATGCCAAAACCCGACATGGTTGAGCCGTTCTGCACATACTGCTTGCGCAGCGATTTTGTCTCTAGGGTATGCACGTGGGGAGGATTTGTCATCCAAGATGGCGGATTGCATGGAGTGAAGAATCATGAGAATTAGTGAATTTATATTAATACTGTCGCTAAAGGCGGCTAAACGATCAAGAATACAGCTTTTGTGGACAATTGAAAGAATCTTATTAAACTCGGAAATTAAAATTGTCATCAAATAATTTACATGTTGTCAGTTGACATATATTTTTGTATATCTGTACTAGATGGAAAACATCAAGGTTGACATATATTTTTGTATAAGCTGTAGATGGAAATAGAAAGAGAAATATTGTTGTAATCTTTTAAGCACTATAAAGGTAGACTTTGTGTTAATATCACAATGAAATGCATTTTTTGGATCAATTAGTTGTTTTGTGTTTTAAGTAATTGTTAATGATATATTAAAGATATTTGCACACGTCATTCAAAAATTGTAATCGCTGGCGATTTCAATTTTCCGCGCGCGAGCTGGAACTCGCGTGAAAATGCTATTGACGTTAATGAGAACTCATTTATCAAATTATTAAATAACTTTTTCTTGGAACAACTAAACACAACTCCCACCAGAGGCGAAAACATTCTCGATCTTGTTATCACCAGTGTTCCCGACCGAGTCAAGATTTGCGAATTTTTAAAACCAAGTGAGTCAGACATTTCAACCGACCACAACGCCATTATTTTCGACCTCTTCCTCTCATGCAATCCTTTCCCAAAGATAAAACGTTCAGTGTTTGATTACCGACGCGCTGACATTGATGGTCTACGAAGGCATCTTCAATCCCTCGACCTCAGTCAACTTTTATCAGAGAATGGCAATATCAACCAGGATTGGCTCGCGTGGAAAAATGCGTTTTTGGGCGCGGTATTGAAATTTGTGCCGACAAAAACACTACGAGGTCGAAACCATCTCCCTTGGACGAACAGTACAATACTTCACTACATCAAGAAGAAAAACTCTATAAGAACGAGAATTAAAAGATCCTGTCCTCCAAGTGAACACCTCAAGCACAGATTTCGAGAGCTCCGCAGGACAATTAAAAGAGTGTTGCGTGAAAGTCGCTTGGACTATATCAATTCAATCTGTGCATCTCGTAAACCCAATCCTAAACGTTTCTGGTCGTTTTTGAAGATTAAGTCTAAGGTATCAGATATTCCGTTAAAAGTCTCGCTTAAATCTAGTAAAAATCAAAGAAAGTATTCCAACAACAACGTAGACATTGCGAATACTTTTAACGAATATTTCGCCTCAATTTTTACGCATGACAACAATAGTGACCACAATCTAGGAGAACACTCGGATCCAGAAATTGTTTTAGAAGACATAACACTGACTAACGACGAAGTAATAACCGTATTAACTAATCTAAATAACAATAAAGCTCCTGTTGACGGAAACATCATCCCAAATCGCTCATTCACTCTGCGCTCTCTTCAACAAATCTTTACGTTGTGGTGTTCTTCCAGATGATTGGAAATTAGCGAATGTCGTACCAGTACACAAACGGGGTGAGAAATCCTATGTCGAGAACAACCGTCCAATCTCGTTGCTTTCCCTTATCTCCAAAGTCCTAAAGCATTGCGTTTTCCATAACATCCAACATCATGTTTTTCAACAAATCAACCCTTGCCAACACGGTTTTGTTCCACGAAAGTCATGCGTAACGCAACTGATCGAAGTATTCGAACAGATAGGTCGGAAATTAGACAACGGTAAGCAGATAGACGTGATTTACCTTGACATGTCGAAGGCATTTGATAAAGTAAGTCACGCTCAGCTCATGCACCGATTACACAAGTTCGGGTTTCGAGGTAACCTTCTCAACTGGTTTTCATCGTACCTCAGCAATCGTTATCAGCAGACAACAATTGGTGGAACAACATCAAGACCGTTAGCAGTGACATCCGGTGTGCCGCAGGGCTCTATTCTCGGTCCTTTACTGTTTCTCTTGCACGAAAACCACCTCTCCGAAAGCGTGGGCAACTCCAGCATTGCAACCTTTGCGGACGATACAAAGATCTTTAAAACTGTAAATAACGTGTCCGACGCATCATCGCTACAAGAGGACCTAACAAATTTTGAAGAGAACTCCAGCAAGGTAAACCTGATATTAAACGCTAAAAAATGTAAAGTCATGAGAATAACCAGAAAACACCACAAAATAGAATATCCCTACAAGCTACATGATGCTGTTCTGGAAAGCACTGTTCACGAACGTGAATTGGGAGTGTGGACTTCTTCCAATCTGACTTGTTCCAAACATATTGAGGACTCATGTGCTCAATCAACCAAAATGCTCGGTTACGTAAGGAGATCTACACTGGACATAAAAACTATCTCGGTTCGTCGTACTCTGTATTTGACTCTTGTACGCTCAAAACTATGCTATGCGTCTCAAGTCTGGGCTCCACAATCCGTGGAACTGATCAAACGCACGGAAAGAATCCAGAGGCGCGCGAGCAAGTTTATTTTGGATCTACCATTCATCTGCGATGTCAGCTATAGTAAGAGACTCGAACTGTTAGACCTCATTCCGCTCTGCTATTGGCACGAATTCCTCGATCTGGTGTTTTACTTTAAATGTGTAAATGGGATAATAAACATCAATGGCAACATTCTACCATCAATTCAGATCCGGCAGAGAGCAACGCGATCAGCTGACCCCTGACTGTTTGAAGTTCACCACACCGAAGTGTAGGACTGCAACATTCCAGAGATCGTTTATATCCAGGTGTGCGAGAGTATGGAATGTTCTACCAAAAGAGTTGACAACAAAGAACATAAGCTTAGGTCGTTTCAAAAGCGATCTCTATGAATATTACAAATCGGCTCTGAACATTTACGACGCAGAAAATCCTAGAACATGGAAGTCTGTATGTTTGTCTTGTAACAAGTCCCGTAATTTGTCTTGTTCAAATTCGTGTTGTTATTAATTCTAATGTGTGTCTCTGTGTTGGTCTTGTTAAGCTTCATTGTCGGCTAATTTCCACTCAGGAAAATTTTCCGCAGGAGCGGACGGCGTTGGAACTAACGACTTTAGCACTATGTAACTTTCCTTCCGTTACTATCCTGCGGAGGGTTTTCCTGGGTGCAAACTGGCCTTTTTATATTACTAAAGATCTAATGTAGAATGTGTCATGTTCGTTCTGTAAGGGCTGCTGTAATTGGCGTAAAGCTGTAGCATATATCCTGCCATTGATTGATTGATAGTTTGTATATTCTTGTGTTTGTATTTGTGCAGATATGATTGTGTGAAATTGGCAAAGCATAATAAATAAATAAATAAATAACTAAATGTCTGGCTGGCATAATTATTTAAAATAGTACAATTATCATGTACAGTTAGTTCATGGTTGTTAGAAGCAGGACAAAATTGCCCTACATAGGATGTGTAGAAATGTAACAAGATAAAATATATTTCAGCATCATAATTGTGGACCCAGTGTTAATAGAAACCAAGGCAAGAGCCAGATTGATTTGAGTGAAAAAGCCTTGGTCTGGTGTTTCCGTGTTTGGTTGTCAGATTGGCCGAGTATGCGAATCAGTGAAGCAACATCCAAGCTAACGCCACTGTCTGAAATCTAAAATTAGCTGAGTTCACTTCCTATATTCACTTACTATACTATGTCTTGTTTCATGTGCGCACTAGTGTCCAGTACCTGAATGGTGTGAATTGCATTGTACAATCCAGCAGTTAAACAATAACGTGGAAGATGATTATAATAATATAATTTTTTTTTAATCCAAATGAACATGTTGAATTGTCAGGATTTCTATGCAAGAAACTAGGTGCTATTTTGCATGTCTGAGGTGGAGACTATAAGGTGCTGCATCCTAGCAAGTGTGAACAGCAAGGTTTACATTGTACAGTACAAGCAGCGTCAAGGCTACAACACATGGACAAGCAACCATTGTCAATGACAACATTGATCAAGCATGTCATAACCTGCCAGATAAAATAGTGACATAATTGAACATGGCCAGCATTCTGTTCTGCTGATACTTTCTTTACAATATAGCATGTTTTTAATGGATGAAAAATGAAAGAAATGGGATAAAAAAAGTAGTGTAAACTGTGGTCCATGCTCACAATTTCCCTGTTACTTATTTTCAAATCACATCCCCTTTTATCAGAAATTGCATTGCAAGTTGCAGATTTACTAGAGGAGGGGGGGGGGG